TATATATATATATATATATATATATATATATATATACATATATATATATGTACACCAATATATATACCATAAGTATCTTCTGGCTGTCTCTCTCTTCAGTGTCTCATGCCAGTCACATAGCTCTAATTCCTTTTTCACACTAACCACCACACTCTGACTAGTATTTTAAATTCTGTGTCTTGGTTAGTGTCAACACCATTGTTATCTCCCAGACTCTGAAATGATAAACTTCATATGATCTTTAAGTATTTCTACTTCCACCTGAAATCAACCTTTGATTATTTTGTTTCTACTTTAGAAATTTAATCATAATCATCTCTTATTTTTTCCATAATCACTTTTTAATTAAACTCCTCACTATTTCTCTCATTAATGCCTATGTATTGCTTACCTCTCTGACTTTAAACTATCTCCAAATAATCTATCCTCTACCAATTCAAAGTATGGTTAAGGCCAGGCAACATCAGCATCTCTGGGAATGATATTAAAAGCTCAACATCTTGAGCCTCAATCTGAACCCCAGGAATCAAAACAGCCTTCACCAACACCTCAAGATGTGTTGAATGGATGTCAAAGTTTAAAAAGAACTGTTTATATTGCTGTCAAAGTGGTCCTTTTGAGTTTTCTCATTTATTTCCCCAGGACATTTTTTTTACATTATACTCTTTTCTATATGATAAAATGTCAGCCCCTAGAACAGACCGAGATACTTCATAACCTAGTCTCTCACTCCTTTGCCACTTCTCGTACTTTATGCTCAGATAATGCTTAATTTCTGTGTGTTCCAGACCTAAATACTTCTTCCACATAGTTCATGAGCTATTAGTCCCAAACTAGACAGCCTTTCTGATCTTGTCCATTTCCCAAGTTTGAAACTTACCTGTGTTGTCATTTCTGGAAACTTTCATGACTATTTTATATGTTATATTTTTTCATATTGCGATAAACAAAATTATTTTTGCTTTCATTTTATAACATGAAAATCACTGTTCCATAAGTTTAGATGCTCATTTTCTTCTTGCTGGATTATAAACTCCTTTATTGAAATCCTTAGCTTGAAGGACAGTACATTGAATATATGCGAATGGAGTAAATGCCTGGCTTGAGAAAAACAAGTGCATGATGGGACCTATTGGATCAAAGACAGACTTTCTGTTTTTCAACACTGTCATGACTTCCCATTACACTGGGCTGACCAGGAGAGAGAATCCTGTCTAGAAAATGCGTATGTTTGTACGTCAGTGAAAGCAAACTCTGAGAAGATCTCTGGTTCCTGATCACATTTCTTCTCTTTTCTGAGAGAGAAGGAATAAGGGAGTGAATGAGAAGAGGAATAAGGGAGTGAATGAGAAGAAGCAGAGATGAGAAAAGAGAAGAAATGTGATCAGGAACCAGAGATCTTCTCAGAGTTTGCTTTCACTAACATCCAAACCTATGCATTTTCTGGACAAGGACCCTTTCTCTTCTGGTCAGCCCAATGTAATGGGAAGTCAAGACAGTGTTGAGAAGCAGCCAGATGGTCTCTGCCTCTCCTGCCCTTTCTTTTTCTTTGTTCTCCCTACCCCCTGCTTCTCCTTTTTCTTTCTTCCTTCTTCATCCCCTCCTCCTCTCTTTTTCCTATCTTTCTTGGAAAATAGACCAAATAAACAAGACTCAGTTTGCTCATCTCTGAAATGGTGGAACTGCAGCGAGTTCCCATCAACCCCTCCCTGATCTAATATGCTTTACCTCTTAGATTACCTCTTAGATTTACCTCTTAGCAGGACAGTGAATGAGTCACACGAGTCAGAGAGTGTTGAGAAGGAAAAGAGTTCCAGATTGCTTCACTGCCAGTGTCTCCGTGTGATAAAAGTGTTATAAAATCATAATTGGTTTGGTTAGTGTGCTCTAAAAGTTCTGGTTAATAGTTAAAAAGCAATTGTGACTCGGTAAGAACTAGATGTCTTTATGACATACTTGGTCTTGGGAGAGCAGGTTAAATTTCTAGAAAACAGTAAAGATAAATGGACCTTGGCCTTTGGACGTGAGGTACTGTTAGATCTAAAAAGTAAATATCTGGGTCATCCATTAGTTACTTCTTCATACCTGACTTTGGTCTCCAAAAAGTCATAATTTTTCATTCAGTGAGGTCAGCACCTCAGAACTGGGGGCATTGATCCGATCAAGGCATAACACAACTTCAGTTGGAAAAATAGTTTGGGGACAGCAGCCAGAGGGCTAAGTTGAGTGAAATTTATCTCTCTCCAGGCTGAAAGGAGGCAGATCTCAGAGATCATAAAATGATCATAAATAGGCCAGTTCCAGACAAAGAAGGAAGAGAAATAAAAGGATCTCCAATACGTTGTTGTTGTCTTTTTCTCTAAACTGTCAATAAGATGCATGTTATATAGTCTATGCTACATAAATGCCTTCTCTCAACTGTAACCTCTCAACTGCTTTCCTGATCCTGTTTCGGTTTCACTTTGTGTAAGCTGAACACATCTTTCTCTTACCAATGGTGCTATAAAGGTAATGAGTGTAAAGAGTCCACACCAAGACACAGCTTGAACCTGAGCCAGGGTTATTATGATAAGCAGGATTATACACCAGGCAGTAAGGCCTGGAAGGAAAAAAAGAAAAGAAAAGAAAAGAAAAGAAAACACCACAAAAAAAACAAAAACACAAAAAACAACAAAACAAAACAAAACAAAACAAAACAAAACAAAACAAAACAAAACAAAACACCTAACCCATTGGAGTAGATGGAGCCAGAATCCAACTCATTGTGATATGTGACATATATTCTTCTTCAAAAGAGCTAGACCAAAATCAGACCCAACAAGATGCAGAATTCATAAAAACTGTAATCAGAAGTATAGATGCTGAAAGAAATTTCTTTGGAGGCTGGGACTGATCTGTATTATCTTATACAGGATGTTAAGCTTTACTCAGAACTGGGAAGCAACTCATAAAATGGCAGATTTGTTTGCAAGTCTAGTTTTTGATACTTGGATTTTGTTGTTTTCCATTTGGTTGAAAAATCCATTGCTGCATTTGGCATAAGCTGGGTTCTAGGTGGTCACAAGTCACCTCACACACAACTGGCTGAACTTTTTCAGGGCCCTGGGAACTGTCTTCTCTCCCAAGAGGAGCTTCATCTTATCACGTTCTACTTTCGCTGGGTCTGGCAAATTTGCTGCTCATTGGCTGGGAAACAATTCAGCCACCTGGGATGATCTCCGATGGTCCATCCCCAGCATCCTTGAGTTTAACCTATTTGGCATCCCCATGGTAAGCCTCATTCTCAACCTTTGTCCTTTGTTACTCTTTCTATTACCATTCATTAATGTATTTGTAAAACTAATGGACATGTCTCATGGTCTTTGTTTTAGCAAAATCAGTTTCTATGTGTGCTGTAAGATGGTTCTGAAGACAGAATGATATAAATGTTAACATTAGTTTCTCTTCCATACAGTCTCTGTAGTGAGGAAAGAATTATTTTAAATCAAATGTATGAGTATAAGAAAAAAAATCCTACCAGGATCATAACAATGAATAGGAAAGTATGAGATTGGGGACTGAATGATGAGGAAGGGCCTTTGATACAGGCAGCCTGTCTAGAAAGTTGGCTTAGTATATCCTAAAATGAGCATCCTCTTGTTTCTCTGGGGCTTGCTTTGAGACTTTGGGATATTTTAAGTGTTAAATAGTATCAGAAAGAGATTCTTTTTCCTTCTCTACATAAGAATATAGCAAATGATTTTTGCCTTTCTAGTAATCACTTTTTTGCATATGTGCTAATTCTCCAGGTAGGGGCCAACATCTGTGGCTACAGAAACAATGTCACAGAGGAACTCTGTAGGAGGTGGATGCAACTTGGAGCATTTTACCCACTGTCCAGGAATCACAATGGTCCTACATACATGGTGAGTTCCTCTAAGAAAAGAAGTAGGAAGTTCTTGAATATTATCTACTTGCTTTCAAAGAGGGGTTATAGAAAACTCCTACATACTAGCCCTTACTTCACAAAGGTAGCCAAATCTTGAGTGGCATGTCTAAAAAGCAGGGAATAAGCATGAAAATGTGAGAAGGATGAATATTTATATATTGAATCACTGTCAAAAACTCATCCACAAAGGTGAGCACTTTTGGCACATCTTTTGTGCTGGGAGTGGGGCATGGTGGCACATGCCTGTAAATCCCAGCACTCAACAGACAGAGGTGGGAGGATTGTTGCATGTTTTATGTCAGTTGGGCCTGCATAAGACTTGTCTCAAAACATACAAAGGTAACTCATGTGAGGCCCTGGGTTCAATGCCTAGTACTACCACCACCAACAACAAAAATCTATGCTGTTTCCATCACTTGCTATCACCTTGTATAAGATGGGACACTGGGAGGTCAATTTTTATATTAATATAAGTTATTAACATAACTATTAGCTATATCAATGTATTATGGTAACCTACATAATATAGTATATCAATATAAATATTAATATAATATGATGAGATTACTCATACATAAGAGAGAACAAGGAAGAAAGATTATGAAGGGATAAGTCAGTGATCTAAAATGTATTTTATTTTGTTATAACATTCTGTTTTTTATGAATAGTTTGGAAGACCAGCCTTCTATTATGTCCCATTATTCTTTCTACCATTATCCCTTTTTTTATCTAAAATAATATTTTTTGATGGGCAAGTCTACAAAAGTAGTTTAAAGTCCTTCTTAAGGTGTTTATAATGCAGCAGGACCAAAAAAGTGATTTCTTTTAATAAAATAAGTTACAATTGAAATATTTCAAACACAATGGCTTTGGTTTTAATAAACTCATTAAAGTGGCCTTGGAGACAACTAATGGATAAAATGCTTGCAGCACAAATGCAAGGGGCAATGTTAGGATGACCAGAACCTGGTAAAAGCTAGGCAGGTACGGCAGTGGTCTGTGGTTCCAGCATTCTGGAGGCAGAGGCAGGGACCTCCAAAACAAGCAGGCTAGATAGACTATCTTGAATGGGTTAGTTCCAGTTCAGCAAGAGATCCTGCCTCAATAAATAAGTGTACCAAGGAAGATACTGAGCATCAACTTTGGATCTCTAAACTCACACTCAAACAAGAGTGTGTGTGTGTGTGTGTGTGTGTGTGTGTGTGTGTGTGTGTGTGTGTGTGTTGTCTAGTTTTATTTGACAATTTGATAAAAGATAGAGACATTTTGGAAGACAAGCCTCAAATGAACAGCCTGTGGGCAAGCCTGTGGTGCATTTCTTGGTTGAGGATTGACATAGGAGGACCCAGATCATATGGGAGCTACTACCCATAAGCTGCTAGTCTTGGATGCTGTAAGAAATGAGGCTGAGAAAGCCATGAGGAGCCAGTAGGAGGTACTCCTCTGTGGTCTCTGCATCAGTTCCTACCTCAAGGTTCTTGATTTGAGTTTCTGCCTTGACTTCTTTTGATGATGGACTGTGATGCGGATGTCTAGGCAAAATAAACCCTCTTCTCCCAAGTTGCTTATGGTCATAGTGTTTTATCATGATAATTAGAAATCCTAACTCAGACAATGTATCCGCATACAGGAGAACACATATACACACATGCATACATAACACACACACACACACACACACACACACACACACACACACACAAAATAAAAAGCAGCTCATGTGAGTAAGTTCATTATCATTTTGGTTCTGGCTCTTGACTATGTGTGATGACATGTCTCTTCTGGGAAGATGTAGAGTCAATTCTTCAAAGTATTTTATTCGTGGATTCCTTTGTACATTTGTGTTCTGGAGAGAGGCGAACTATTTCTGAAGGTCTCAGTAGGTGATTTGGGGCAGAGAAGGTAGGTAGTGTTCACAAATCATGACCTGTCAAGACTCATGTAGATAAGAACACTCAGCTGCCCCAGGTGACTAGGGTAAAGATATAGTTATCTCCTAAACTAGCTCTTTCCAATGGAATTATAACTAGAACACTGCATGCCCTTTTAAATTTAAATTTGGAAGTTGAAACAAATAGGAGACACTCAACATATATCTTTTGTGACTCAATATATTCATATCATTATTATTTAACTAGTGTTCAGCATAAGGGATTAGTGGTTGAGCTACTTATATCTTGTTCAAAGTCTTCAAAACTTGGCTTGTAGTTTTGCACACTTCAGTTTGTGTGTTAAAGTTGTAGAAGTTGAGATAAAATATAATCCCACAAGGCAGTCAAAAAGCCAATGGAAATAATATTTTACATTGATTCAGCCTCAAGATTTGCACTTGAGTTAATCATCAACCAGTTGGGTAGAGTTGGATTCTGCAGTCTTAGAAACCACGTCTCAGGGTCTCAGCCAGCACAACATCCAGTACAGCTCTACATTTTTTTCAGCTGGAAACAAGATGATGGAGGCTGAAGAATACTCTTTTCTTCCGTGTTTAGCCTTAGTGTTTTCATGAACTCTATACTAGGGTTGTAGAATGGCTATATTTAGGAAAGGGTTGGGCCTCTTATCAAGAAACACAGAGGAATAGATTCACATAATTTTCTCCAAAATTCAGTTTCTATCATGTGATACAAGATGAGAAGTCAATTGTGATATATACATCTTTCAGGTCTTCTGAACTACAAAGAGTGAGCAAAATGAGTGCGTACTACTGATGGCAAATGTCTACCTCTAGGTCCTAGGAAAATTAGGTTGCTCTGCTCAATGGTTCTTTGTTTTCTCCTTGATAAAATCTGCTAAAATCAGTCTTTATTATCTTTCTACATGTTGTATTAATATACCAGGGAAGATATAAAGGCCATTATCTTTGGGGTGTAGAAAATGAAATTAACTGTGATGGCTAAGACAATTACAGAGGAAACTACACACACACACACACACAACAACAACATCAACAACAAACAACAACAACAACAGCTTAAAAACTGCAAATTCACTAAATTCCAGAGAAAAGAAAAGATTTGGAATGGAGATCATAGTTAGGCATTGTAAATTAAGTAAATGGATTTTTAAAAATTGTAAAAGTAAGTTTAGATCAAATGATTATTATTGTTCTCTCCCAAGTGAAATATGAAGTATCTCAAATATATATTGGCATGTCTCTGAAGGTAGCAGATCCCCTTTGGCTTCTTTATGGCCACTGAAACCCTTGTGGTATCTTCTTGCCACTTGGGATGTCTATAGTCTGCACTGAGAAGAACCTGTCAAGTGAAAATTGCCTCTTGAATACATGTCTACATTGGAGAACTCATGTGATCTCTGATGTTTTTCCAGCCAAGAAAAAAGGGAGCAGGACCAAGATCAATTGAGTTCTGAAAATATCCCAACCTTCTCCAAACTTTATATCATGATAGAAAGAAATATTCACTAATTGCTTGCATTTACTTTTAGGACCAGGACCCCGCTGCCTTTGGCCTTAACTCTATGCTGTTGGAATCCTCGAGACATTATCTGAACATCCGTTATACCTTACTGCCCTATCTCTACACCCTCTTCTACCGTGCTCACACACTCGGAGAGACAGTAGCAAGGCCCCTCGTACATGAGTGAGTTTCTAGACCTAGGTCTTCCATTCAGATCACAAGTTCCCTTTCCCTTGCTAGTGTAACAAGGTCCATTAAGATATGTGATGTGTTGCTGTCTCCTCTTGTAAATTACACTCACTTCACTGTGAATGTACTCTATGTTTTATAGGTTCTATCAAGACCCAGCTACATGGGAGGTGCATGAACAGTTCTTATGGGGGCCTGGACTCCTTATCACACCTGTGTTATATGAAGTATGTTTGTAATCTGAATAATGGAATAGGATGTTCTTGTAGCTTGATAGCTGATAATCTAACTGCTGAGTATATGGTTGTGCTTAAGTCTAAATATAAATATAAATGAGAACAACCATGAATGTTTAGAAAATAAGAATTCTTGGTTACAATGATGCATCAACTAAAACAGTTTCTATGCTGTAAAATTACCTTTAAAAACTATGTTCTTAGGCATGTGGCCATGCACTGGGCTTTGAATGCCTTGGTGTGTGTAGGTTGGTGCATGTGCACAAACTATCTATATATCCTCTTATCCAGGGGAATCAGGTTGAGAAGATAGAATAGGTTGTAAAGGAGTAAGGAGGGAAGTGGAGTACAGGAAGGAATGACCACAGGCAAGGGTAAAGAAGTCAAGTGTGGAGGAAGGATTGCTATGATACTGATCCTCTTGTTAAATACTGCCAACATAGCACTCAAGAAAAAAGATAGCTAACAAAGGCTCACTGAGCTGTTAGTGTCTCAGCTACAACTGGCTTTGCTCAACAAGTAGCTTTGCTTCCTGTGGATGTGGTTGGCTTAGCTTACTCTGAACTAATAGAGGGCATATCTCCAAGAATGAAACTCTCTGCTTCTTCTAGAAAATTCATGAGCACAGAGGCAAAATGAACTTTATTTCTAGGTATAGCTTGGCTTTGAATAAACTGTTTGGCCTTTCTGGGTTCATGTGATTTCACTGGTATACCAGGATAATCTCAGATGGCTTTTAGGATTATTCTGAGTACCAGGGGCAATGATGTGGAGGGGTTTTCTAAACTATAAAGAGGTGTGTGTGTGTGTGTGTGTGTGTGTGTGTGTGTGTGTGTGCTAATATTGCTTACTGATTTTATTTCTTTAGGGAATGGAGCAAGTAAAAGCCTATATCCCAGATGCCATCTGGTATGACTATGAGACAGTAAGTAAGGTGGTTTCTATTATTTCAGAGACCTCTTCTAGAAGAGGACAATTCTAAAACAGAATTCTTGGGAGTTCATGGTAATATTTCACAAGCCTTTACAGTCAGTAAAGTATGGGTATGTTTTGAGGCATCTTAGTCTATTCAGGATGGTATAATAAAGGACCTCACACTGCATAATTTATAAACAACAGAACTTTATTGTCCATAACTCTTGGAGGTTATAAATTCCACGATCAAGCTCTTCTCAACTTCATCAATGGGAGCTTCTCACCACTGAATTGTCATAACTCAACCGCTTGTCCAGAGGAATCATCTCTTAGTAATATCACATACAATATTAGGTTTCAACATATGGACTTTAGAGGCATATTAACATTCATGCCACAGCAGAAGACATTTCCAACAGCTGCAGTAGGTTTATAGGATCTCACTGGCTCAATCCTCTCAATTTGATTGCTATGCTGATAATTAGGGCTAATCATTGCATTAATTGTTGTCTGTGGAAGCAGAGAATTCAAGTTCAGTGAAATTACAGTGTGTCAGTCAACTTTAAGTTACTATAACAAATACCCAAGACAGTAAGCTTATAAGAAGAAAGGGTCTCTATATTTTTACTTTTAATTTCAGAAGTTCTAGTCCTTGTTCTATCGCTTTGGGCTAGTGGCAGGCTATTTTTGTGAAAGCAGGAGAAGGAACAAAACTACTTTAAACAAACAAACAAACAAACAAACAAACACCTCATGGCTACAAAGTGACAGAGAGTAAAATGAAGAGACCAGGGTCTTGCAATTCAAAGAAGAGACCAGGGCCTTACAGTTCCCATTAAGAGCAAAACTCTAATGACTTAAAAACTCATGCTAAACCCCACCCGTCAAAGTTTCTATCAGCCCCCAATAGCACTGAGCCAGGGACCAAGACTTTAACACAAAAGACTTTGGGGGACATCTAAGATACGAACTATAAAACACAGTATGATGAGAAGTAAACAAGAGGGGAGGTTGGCGTCTCAGCTCTTATCTCTACTACCCATACACCTTGGGGAAATCACCTCACTTTGGCAGTCTCCATCTTCTTGTCTCTAAAGTGAGGACTTGACTAAGGGGTCTCTATGGTCCTTCTTGTCTGCAGTCCTCTGTCTGGTCTGTTTTCCTTTTGTTGCTTAGGAACTGGCTATCCAATGGAGGAAACAGTTTGTAGACATGATACTACCAGGTGACAGGATAGGGCTTCACCTTCGAGGAGGCTACATATTTCCCACCCAGCAGCCAAACAGAACCACAGAGGCCAGGTAAGACCCAGTGTCTTCTAACTATTCTGATGCTCAGTGGGCATTCACGGGGGAGACAAGCAAAGCCCAGGAGTAGATGGGCCAAATGAATGCAGCTACTGTCAGCCATCTTCTCCTCATTTCAAGGGCCCAAAATTGTCTTCAGAGGGAGTAAATACAGTCTCACTTTCCTTCTCAATTTTATAGTTCTTCTATTTGGATGAAATCAGATTATAGAAATAGTCAAAATAAGCCGGGCGGTGGTGGCGCACGCCTTTAATCCCAGCACTTGGGAGGCAGAGGCAGGCGGATCTCTGTGAGTTCGAGGCCAGCCTGGGCTACCAAGTGAGTCCCAGGAAAGGCACAAAGCTACACAGAGAAACCCTGTCTCGAAAAATCAAAAAAAAAAAAAAAAAGAAATAGTCAAAATAATCTTCATGAGGATTTCCTCAGGGACAGAAATTATCTTAACATGTATTCCCCAATACATGAGAAAAATTTAGAAGGAAGCAAAGGTCAGCATGACTTGGAGTTTCAGGGCTCAGATTCTGGAGAATTTGAGTTCAAACTCTGGCCTGACAGCGTCCTACATACAGTAAGCTTGGACAGCATCTCTGTGTTCATACTTGTTACTGATGAACTGGAGAAGATGACGGCCTGATCTTTTAGCACCTGTGTGAGGATTAAGTGGATTACTACAAATGACAGGATCTGGACACATTCTGGAGAGTGCCTGTTACAGAGTCCTAGAAGCATTGTTAGAATGACCACAAACCTAGTTTTCAGGAACCACCTCACCCTGCCATTGTTCTTACATTTTCTCTTTTCCACAGCCTGCTATCTCCCCATACCTGTGTTTCCACAGTGCTAGTATCTCCTCAGTTTCTGGGGTGGACTCTGGAAGATCCATCGCTATTCATTAAAGGGTAGACTCATCAAGGGGTGCATTCATCAAGGGGCAGATTCATCCATTTCTGCTTTTCTTTCATTGTCTAAAACTTGTAATTGTTCTTCCTCAGCCGGAAGAATCCCTTGGGACTCATTGTTGCCTTGGACTATAAGCGAGAAGCAGAGGGCCAGTTGTACTGGGATGATGGTGTGTCTAAAGGTAGACTTCCAAATGGAAACATAGTGGTGGTTCTTAGTGAAAATTCATTGCAAATAAAGCACCAACCCCACTATCACTGTTGTATATTTTAGTATCTTAGGAGGTTTTAGTAGCTTGGAAAATTAAAACTCATTCTGAAAATTCCATTAGGCAACTTCACATGTAGACCTTCCTATGTTATTGACATGGCCAATGGAATAAATAGTATTGCACTTGATTTCATTATTCTTTTCTACATATCATCATTATCATAAAGCAATACCTTTTAGTTAATAATTTAGCAAGGCACTGTTTCAGTTACCATTGAGAAAGACATATCTGGTGTAGGTCTTGTGTTTTTCATTGTAAGATTTGATATGACTAAAACATAGTAGCTTTTAGGCTGAGTGGATTTAGAATTTATTAATATTTGATACTCATTATTGCTCTGCATGGAAAGCATAGATAGAGATGAATGTGACATAAACTTTGACCTTGACAAACTCATGGTATAATAAGATAGAGAACCATAATGAAAATCAGCATATTTAAATGCTGGCAAGTGGAGCCACAGAGTGCCATGTGACTTCAGAGAAAGTAGTCCATTAAGGTTCTACACAGATTAAAAAACGTGGGATTTTGGATGAGCAGAACTATGTATGATTTCATCTGTTTGGATGAGCAGAACTATATGCAGAAGAATTCCCAACAAGGAGGATGTTCACTCCACAGTTTCATTGTTTCCCATAGTAATGATACATACATGTCTACCCATCTCTTTCAGGCACAGTGGTAGAAAGGAAGTACATTCTGTATGATTTCTCTGTTACATCTGTAAGTACCATTTTCAAGGAACATATGTTTCATGTTTCCTATTGTGATTATGTTTTGAGGTTTTGGTGTTCTATGTATGCTTTTATTTCTCTGAAATTCAGACTGAAGTCTTAAATTAGCACATGCTTTTTAATGTATGAAACATCTGAACTGTTTTTGCAGAGTGGCTGTGTAGTTTATAATTCTACCACCAATATCTAAGTGATGCTGTTTCTCTGGATAATTACTTGCATTTGAGGCTGTTGATGTTTTTCCTTTTAGCTATTCTGTGTGACCATTTCTTGTGACTTTAACTTTGTCTTATTATTTCTCCAATGACTAATTATGTTGAAATCTTTGCATATGTCTATCTGCCTTTTCCATATTATCTTGGCTGAAAAATCACCTCTTTGTCCATATTCTGATTTGGATGTTTTTTGGCATTGGTTAACAGCTCAGTTTTAATGGTTTTTAAATGTCTGTGATACCTATCCTTCATTCAATATTTTTGCAAGTAATTACTTCTATATGTAGGCTTCTCTTTTCTTCCTTTTAAAGACTTTCACAAAGCAAATATTTAAATTTGGATATACCTAATTATCTTTTTCTTCTGGATCATACCTTTTAATGTCATGTCTATGAACTCTTTGCCTGGCCTTAGAATCTAGTGTTCTCTGAAATTTTATTATCTATATCTAACTCTAAGATCTATATTGGACTAATTAGTATATGTCAGACTTAGATCAAAGTTCATCTATTTGCCTATGTAGGTCCAGGTGCCCCTGTACCTTTGTTGAAACAGCTCCCTCTTCCACTCTATTGCTTTTGAAATCCTGTCAAATACCACTAGGTCATATTTGTTTATAGGAAACTATATTCTTTGTACTTAGCAAAATGTGCCCCTCTCCCTCAGAGTCCAGTCCCACTGCCTTCTGGGCTTAGCTCAGCTTTGCTGCTTTTCAACTCTATTTCTATAAAAGAATCGTTTAATTTCTCTGTGTTTTAGTATTGTCATCTGAAAGAAATGGAGATTGTGACCTCAAAACTTGCTGAATCATCTAAATGGGATAGTATATGCAAGATGCTTAAGCATATTGTCTGGCATACATTAAGCATTCATAAAATTTAGCTTTTGTTATTAATGTTAAAATAAAAATTAAAAATTATTGTGGCGCTTTTATGTGTGTATGATGGTTGTGTGTCATTTGGGTTTTGTGAGTGCTTGAGTCTTTCTTTGCTTTGTAACTACTTAAACATGCTACATATCAGGATCATATCTTCTGAATAGTAGAATCAGAAAAGAGCCAGTTAACCAAAGGAAGAGAGTGCTGGTATCTGAAACAACACCTGTGCTAGGGGTGGTTATTGATGAAGTTAGAAAAGAAAACAGGCTAAGAAGACAGCCTGTGTGAGGAGATGTTGATGTGTACATTCAATCTCTAAAATGATTTTCTTCCCCCTCCCCCAGAATCGTTTACAGGCAAAAATTCTAAACAATAATTATGTGGATCCCAATGACCTCATGTTTACAGACATCAGAATCTTGGGGCTGGACAAAGAGCCAACTGTTCTTAAAGTCTTACTTAATGGCAATATCATCCCCATTTCAAGCTACAAGTACAATGCTTCAGCAAAGGTGAGAGATCATTCCATCTGCAGGACTCAGGCTGAAAGCACTGCCTGGGATTCTGACAGCTTTCCCTCTCCCACTTTCATGAGTTTGCATAGTCACAGAGACAATTTTCTTGCTGAGACAACTACCAACCATATCATAGGGAGGATCTAGGAGAAAAGTGTGCATGCGAGTATGAATACTTTCTCTTGTTGACATTAGGGCTCTAAGAGTTGGCACCCTAAGAGTTCTTTTCTGTTCATTTAAAGCTAGGTAAGATGGTCTCAGATGGAATAGTAAAAATGAGGTTCAATAAATTGTCCTAGTTCGGGGGAGTATTTACAGTTTGTTATTGTTAAAGTTAGAAGTACCCTTGAGACACAGCTGATGTTTTCCCTTGCTGCTATTTCTACAAAGCTATTTTATATTATCACATAAAATATAAGTGGGAGAAAACCTAAGCTATACTCTGATTAAGTCATCACTGAGTGATTATCTTACTTGATAGAGAGGATTTTAGTTATTGGCTTACTCACTTAAGACCTGAGAAGTTCATTGTTTCTTACATAAACCATCTTCTTCCAGAAAATACATGTAACATAGGATAGGAACAAAACTTCTAAGCAGAATGGGGTGCTGATCTTGGCTATTCTCTCCCCATTGTGAGATCTTATACATGTTATAACATCTGTATCATGGAGACAACCACATTACTCATAGCCCTGGGTCACTCTATAACATTAATGTGCACGACCTATAATATGATGGTCATAGTGTTTGGCTCACATGTATGCTCAGTAAAACTGATCTATTGATTACTGCCATCATTAGTCATATTAACAAGCACCATACCAAAAGGATAATAAGACTAAAAATGACACCCACACTGTGATACTCATACTTTAACGTGGCTAAATTGCTCCACGTTCCATACTTTCACAATGGGCCCAAAAGGTCAGGAATCAAACAACTTCCAAGTATTCTTAGGTGATATTGGAGAAAGCTTGGTCCTGACTTCCTGGCCATCAGCCAATAACACTGTCTCCATAGCTCTGAGTCACCTGGTTTGTCATTGGAGTCTCTTCTCTCCCTAGGTGTTGGTCATCAATAACCTCACAGGTCTGAAACTGGGACAAGAATTCTCCATTGAGTGGACTCTTGTAGTCAGTGACCTGGAGAAGTTTAACTGCTTCCCCGAGGATCCTGCAGTCTCTGAGGAGAACTGCAAGCAGCGGGGGTGCCTCTGGGAGGTAATGACCACAGTGACCAGGAAGTTGTAGGAATTTTGCACCAAGTAGTTGAACAACTGGAAAGCACTTTGAAAAGGTTGATGACTTGACGGTCATCGTGAAGGTGTGATGATATGCATTTTGTGAATTCCATGTGATGGGTGATCTACATGTTTCCCACAGATATCCTGCATCTAAAAAAATTATAGCCAGTCTAATTGCATCTTAAATGGTATCATTCAAAAATCCTATTTTGAACTATTAGAGAAGATAAAAGGATAAAAAGGAGGGAAGGAGGGGATAAAAGGGTAATACAAGGATGATTATGGTCAAACTTTATTATATAGATTTATAAACATATCACCACAAAACTTATTGTTTTTAGAACCAATACATGCTAGTAAAACAGTCTTACCATCACAGTATATACTGTGCATTGAATATTGTAAGTGAACAGCTTTTGTTTACTGGAAAACCTAAACAGAAAGTGTTAGTCTTGTCCAATCTGTTTGGATGATGGAAAGAATAAAATCAGAAAGAGTTAGCAGCTGCATTGGAAGCAGGAGACACAAAGAGGACCCTAACTGAGGGTTGTGGTACCTGATTAGGCTTCCTGTTCCATCATCATTCACATTTCACTCTTTACAGAAGGTGTGTGTGTGTGTGTGTGTGTGTGTGTGTGTGTGTGTGTGTGTGTGCACGTACTTGTGAATTTAATTGAACCTGGACCTTTGCTATGGCTTGTATAGCACTAGAAATCACTTAGAGAATACCAATTTTATTATCCTCAGGTAAAGAATCATGAAGTCAGAGATCAGGGTGTTGTGACAGGGTTGGTTCCTTTTGAGGATCGTGAATGAGATCTGGTCCATTATTCACCCTTAGATTCTGGTGGTTTGTTACTAGTGTTTCACGTTTCTTAGCCTGTGTAAGATCTCTGCTTTCATGACTTTATGGTGCTCTCCTAAGTGTATACATGCCTATTTGTCTGAATTCTCCCTGCTAACAAGTGTACTAGTCATATTGCATTAAAGCCTACCCTAATGACCTCATCTTAACTTGATCATCTGCAAAGACCTTATCTTCAACATGTCACATGCATACTACCAGGGCTTAGGACCTCTCTCTCTCTCTCTCTCTCTCTCTCTCTCTCTCTCTCTCTCTCTTGTTAAGGAACATTTCAACCTATTTCAAAGTTCTTAGAAGCTTACTCTTTGTTAACTGGTTTCTTCAGTGATTAGAGTTTCAAAATGTTGTGTAGCAGCTCACCAAGAATTCTTTTTACTATTCCAGCACACAACTACTCCTGGAGTGCCTACCTGTTTCTACGACACCATTCCCCAGTATGCTGCCAGTAACATTCAGTACCAGCCCACTGGCATCACCATGGACCTGGCCCTCCTGGCAGACTCAACATCTGCCCGGGCAGCAGCAGCTCCAAGCGTTGTCTCTGATCCTCTTTCTGGAAAGATCAGCTCTCTTAAACTGAATGTGACCTACCATACAGAAAACATGCTGCAGGTCAAGGTAATCCTCATGTTATAGTTGCTGGTTCTCAACACGGATGTTTTTGACTCAAGGCTCTGTACACATGAGATCATTGAAAAGACTGTTAATGGCCAGTCATGGTGGTGCATGCCTTTGATCTCTGTACTCAAGTGGCAGAGATAAGTGGGTCTCTGTGAATTGGAAGCCAGCCTGGTCTGAATAGCGAGTTCTAGGCCAGCCAAAGCTACACTGAGACTCTGTCACAAACAAAGAAACAAACTGTTAATGCAAATCCCTATGTTACAGATGTATAGACTAATTTACAAATAGTCTTATTAATAGAAAACAGGGAGCCAGATATATGGGTGAAAACCTGAGAGAGATCAGAGAAACAGGGAAAGCCACAGTTGACCTTACCTCACCAACTCCACAGCTTCCAAAAGCGAGATACTTCCTTTTGACCCATGCCTATATGCCTTGCTGTTCTGCCATCTGATTTGCTCTCTCTGTCCAGCTAAATCACTTCCTCTTCCTGCCCAGCTCTGTCACTTCCTGTCTGTCTGTACAGACCTCCAGACCTCTATGGTTGGTGCTAGGATTAAAGGAGTATGTCACCATGCCTGGCTCTGTTCCCCAGTGTGGCCTTGAACTCACAGAGATCCTGACAGATCCCTACCTGCCAAGTGATAGGATTAAAGGCATGTGCTACCATTGCCTGACTTCTGTGTTTACTATAATGGCTGACTTTTTCCTCTGATCTCCAGGCAAGCTTTACTTACTAAAGCACAAATAAAATATCACCACACAGATGCAGAAGTTGAGTCCATCAGAGGTAAAGATCAGAAAGGTAGTAGATAGCTAGTCAGGATGTGAACTTAGATCCACCACAGTTTTGCATATTCTATTATGATCAATATTCTATATCACACATGTCATTAAAACCCATCCCATCTCCCTGAAAAGCATGAGTCTGCTTTGTGGGAAACACACAGAAAAGACACTAACTCACTTCCAGCAGTTTTAGTAACTTCTGTAATGGGAACTCTCAACATGCATTAGTGTCAACTGAAGATACCATTAAAACTTCCTTTTCTCTTTCCCAGATTTATAGCTCCACTAACAAGAGATATGAGGTCCCAGTACCTCTGAACATCCCTCCTTCACCACTTGGCTCCTCTGAGAACTGCCTGTATGATGTCACAGTTAAAACCAACCCATTTGGACTCCAAATTAGACGGAAAAGCTCCAGTACTGTGATGTAAGCTCTGTTTATTTGGTCCTAATCAAAGCAAATGTAGATCTAATTACAATGATTCTAATCATGGCAAGTGAACCACTAATTTCTGAGACAACATAGAATTATGAGCATGTTTGTTAAAGTAAACATCAATTTCTCTTGATTCTTTAGGGAACTGATTTTTCTGCCATTCATTAACTCAGAAATAAATGATGAAAGATTTTCTAAAAAGATATGTTATTTGACTTCAGAAAAAGAAAATTTGTTCTGTTTATTGTAATGCTAACGAGGACAGAAAACTCTAATTGATAAGCATGACAGATTTCATAAGTCATGAGTCTGTTCTCAATTAAGCATCATTAAGAAATAGCTGAGGAAGCAGGAGAGAGGGACAGAGGTCCATAGGGAGAGAGAAATGGCTTCCTAGGATCATTGCTCCCATTCTTAGTATAGACAAAGCCTTTCCATGGTGTTAACTATGCAAGGATTGTCAGTCACCAATGATGTCATCTCTAGGTCTTGTCCTGCTGTTAAAGGTCTAGATTTTGCCTGAGAAGAAGGTCTCTGCCCCATTAGAGATTGTCACATACATGTGCATGTCTGTTTTTTTCCTGTGTGTGGCTTTTGGTGATTTAACTGTGTATTCAATGTTCGCTTTCTGTCTTCAGGAAATTTCCTGCAATCTAATAGTTGTTCTAAGAGTTTCACATTTTTTTATTACACAGTAGTTTTGTAGACCTTATTAATAGGTTCCCACAAGCTGGTGTACCAGGCTCTAAGAACTGGTAACAAAAGAATGAATGAGACAGGGTTTTTTTTTTTTTTCTCTCTCTCTCAATGAGAATTCCCAGTTCTCTTAACTGGAAATAAAAGGATGAATAAGACATTTTTTTTTTCTTTCTCTCCCTTAATGACCCAGCAAAAGGACTCTTAGTCTTGCAAACTAAGAATAGAGATGTAAATGTGGAAACTTGGAGCTGAATTATGGCCACTCTTATGACCTGGTTCATTTCACAACACTTGAACCAGGATCAGACGTCCAATAATTGGAAACTTCCAAGTGAATTAGGCACTAAAACATGTTTTGTGTTTTCTCTGGCTTGTGATTTGTAGTTCAGCATTGAAGTCTGCTTTTGCATTACAGTTGGGATTCTCAACTCCCTGGCTTCACCTTCAGTGAGATGTTTCTTTCAATTTCTACTCGCCTTCCATCTCAGTACATCTATGGCTTCGGGGAAACAGAGCATGAATCTTTCAGAAGAAATATGAGTTGGAACACGTGGGGAATGTTTGCTCGGGATGAGCCACCAGCGGTAAGGACAAGAATAAAATTAGCAATCGTGTTCTCTTTATCTAAACTTATTCAAATTCTTGTGTCCGTAAATGATTCTATATTCATCAGCTTTTCCTTGCACTGATAAATTATGCTTTCAGATCCAAAAGGGCATATGCTCTCATGCTCCTTTGCTTATAAAACATTTAATTTCTCTACTCCTGTGGAACACAACTTTTATTTATTTTAAGTGCTCAGCTGAAAATTTAATGAGATATTATCTATGCCCTGTAAAGATTTATAATGCTGGGGGAGACAGATAATAAAACAATGATAGCATGGTGTAATCAATGCTAAGATAGATTTATGTAATAGGGAAAAGGGCACCGAGTGTGGAGGGCACAGACTTTAGGCTTGTGGTAGAAGACAAGGTCCAGCAAGGCTTTTTAAAGAACACCACTGGTGAGTTCAATCTTCAATGTTGAGTATGGGTTTACTGTTTGCTTTGTGATATGGACACAATTTATTGGGTTTTTATTTGTAATTACCTTATAGTTCTTTCTTACAGTACAAGAAGAATTCCTATGGTGTTCACCCTTACTATATGGCATTGGAAGAGGATGGCAGTGCTACTGGAGTGCTCTTGTTGAACAGCAATGCCATGGGTAAGACGGGGATGCACATGTACATGCCATCAGTGACAACTGTGACCACCCTGTCAGAGTCTAGGATGTTACTATTAATAAGGACATTCAAAGGCAAGGAAAATTGGATGCAATGGCTTTCACTCAATCATCTATTAATTCAAGATTTATTAAATATTCCAAACCACATATTAAATGTGAAATTTTGGCTCTCTATGTTCCCTTATTTTCTGTGACACCTTAGCTTCTTTTCCATAGGGTGACATAAGTTGTTGGGATTGTATATTTTATTTTAGGCACATGGAGTCCATCTCAATCCCACTGCCTAAGAGAAGACTTTCCAGAGGAGGAAGCTGTTAAGGCATGAGGGTGAAAATGGAAAAGTTTAGGATAGATTCTCCATCAGGGTAACTTATGGCTACTTACCAATTTGGCTTTTTCTAATCTTTACAGATGTGACACTCCAGCCTACCCCTGCCCTGACATATCGCACCATAGGAGGGATTCTGGACTTCTATATGGTTCTGGGGCCAACACCTGAACTTGTAACTCAGCAATACACCCAGGTTGGAAACCTGTCTATTCACTGATAAACCATCACGTATTTGGTGCATATTGCTACCATGTTCTTAATGCTGAGATAAGATCCTTTGAGTTCATTTCACTCATGGATGCTCCCATGAGAGGACTGCTATTCTTCTTGCAATATAAAACAGATGTTCAAGGAGTTTTACAGTTTTCTATTTGACAATGGTTTTGTAGACCTCACTCAAGCTGACACACCAAACTTTAGTGTTATGAGGTACTGACAGCATATCAATAACCCATGTATGTCTTGATTGCTTGCTCAGTAGTCTATTGAAGATTTTCTGATGAAGATTCACTATGAATGTGTCAGGTTTTCTGAGTGAATTGGAGGCAATGGGAGGAAACCTCAGCTACAATGTTTCTATGTTTCACCTCCCTGGCTGTTCTATATTTGACTAAATATTCCTTATTCATCTTGAGAGCTCTTATAACTCAGTAGAACTGTTCAAATTTCTTCCTTAAGAAGTCTAGTAGCATCCATTTATTTCACTTAGACTATTTTAAACAAATGTAGACTTTTGTTTTAATTAATTAGTTGATCAATTAACCACTACTATTTTAAACTAATATAGACTTTTAAAAATAATTGTGGTGTGTGGCATGGTGATTAAGTGAATGTGTGCAACATGGAAGGTTGAAATTGTGATAATTAGCATTTTATTTTTATTCCAGCTGATTGGTCGGCCAGCCATGACTCCATACTGGGCCTTAGGTTTCCAGCTGAGTCGCTATGGATACCAGAGTGATGAAGAAATCGCCAGTTTGTATGATGCAATGGTGGCAGCCCAGATTCCCTACGTATGAACCTCTCCCTCTGTTTCTGGTTTTTTAGCTTACTTGTGTAATGAAAACAGGGTTCATACAAATTAAAGCAGTGGTTAGTTTAGTAGAAGAAAAGTAGCTGTGGCAATCGTCTTCTGTAGAATGCTTTACATTTTAAACATACTGCATGCTACCGTTTGGCATGTTAAACCTTGGTATGTAAGGTTCATAACTAAGAGCTGCATATGCATCCTTCAGGAGGCAGTGGGACGGTTGCAGTATGCTGTCACTCATTGCCTGCCACTGGGGATTGTTTGCAGTAGCTATGACTTGTTCGAGCTGTGACTTTAGAAGCTCAGAAATGGGCATCTTGTAGAGATGAGCTTTAAATGACAGTATGTAAGGAAGCAGTTGAAGATCTAGACTTTGCTTTCTTCGTAACATACATGTGCATATCCTATAATCTAGCTCTCCAAGTAAATCCTGAGAAACATAGCTGCTGTCAACAAGCAAAAAGACACGTGTGCTCTTTCTGCTCGTACAATTGTCAGTTCTCTGGCACTCCTCTTTCTCGGCTTTTAGATCATCTGCTGAGATTTTGGAGGGAAATTAAGGATTATAAAATGAGAATAAAGTGATCCTCTCACTGAAGATAATTTGATACTTATGTACAAGCTGCACTTTTGTCTTTTTATATACATTGTATAATGTACTTGTTAAACAGAGATGAGAAAAATAGAAGAAGAATGCAAGATTAAAAATTTCCATAGTCCTAACTTACCCAAGTCATCAATGTCATTAGTATGTTAGTTCATTCTTGTTTTAGTTTTGGCTTTTCTACCCGTCTGAGCTTCTCCAAATGCATTTCACATAGAGTCCTAAGGCAACACAGGAGAATTCCACTTTGGGGCTAAAAAGAAGTAGCTTGCTTTCTTTTTTCATCTGAATATTAACTTTACCTGTTGTTCAGTACTCTGGCGCTAGCTGAGTTTCAAGTGCAGAAATCTCTTTTGGGGCTGTGTAGAGGCAGTTAAAAATAATACACTTCTCTAGTGAATAAACTCTGTAAGATTAACTGAAACAACCAAACAACCACCAGGTCTACAATGTGCTGTTTAGGAGAGTTTTTACTATCTATCTTTGAGTGCACTTTGATGGGCTCACCACATATGAGATTTGAAGGGTTAGGAGGACAGGAATTGAGGAAGGGAAAGGAGAGAGGGAACAGTAGTTGATGAAGCAGATGAGGAATGTGGACCAGTGAGCTATGAGCAGGAATCAGAAAGTGATTTCAGCATATGAAATTGAAAAGTGGTGCAGGGGTGTGTGTGTTAGGAGATGGAATTTAGAAGGAGCCCTGGCCAGGTCAGAAGTAGTGGCAGAGCCTGCAGAGCACTGAGTGCACCTGCAGAACATCTGTTACAGGACACCGAGTGTACCTGCAGAACATCTGTTACAGGACACTGAGTGTACCTGCAGAACATCTGTT